TCAGTATCCGCAATGATTTAAAAACGGGGCGTGCTGAAGAGTCCTGTGGGATTTTGGCAAAGGTAAGGTAATATTAGCAAGTGACACGCGCGATGCTCTCTCTCTCTTCGTGTGGGACACCGAGTCGTTCAACGACCCGATGAACCCTGGTGTCAGAGTTTTTCAACCGCCTACTACAAGTAGCAGGCCTCTGACATGGCTGTGTAACGACCGCCATCATAGACAGCAACCGGGACCGACGGCTTAACGTGCCCATCCGAAGCACGGAACCATCTTACTTACGGACAATCAGGTGGTTCAGCCTGCAATGTCCTAACCAGACTGGGAATACATTCACAAAGTGATAAATATCAACTTTGTGAGTGACCCCACCGGGAATTGAACCCGGAACCTTTGCGTGGCAGGCAGCCATACTAACCACTGCGCCACATCGGTTGTCAACACGCGCGATGCTGAGACAAACCAATCTAACGTTACCGCATTTGTAAAAATCCGAGTAGCCGTTTAGACTGTGAAAAAAAAACATGTCCACATAATATACATACATACCTACAGTCATACAAATTCTCGAAAAACATAACCTTTCTTCAAAGGCAGTCGGGTGAATACTGGTTTTCAGCCTATAAACCAGCAATACAGATTGATCCTTGGTGGTTGATTGATATGCTGTGAGTTTACCTGCGTAATTCAGTTTATTATTTATTCATTTTAAACTTGCAATGAGAGCGCGATCCTTTTTTGGATTAAACGCTAAAACGAAATAAAACTACACGTGGAGACCCACCAAGCCTTACAAAGTAGCATTAAATAAATAAGCTATATGGGCCAATAAAGACATCGAGAAATCTCTGGTGCTGATAATCCGGCACCATAATTATTGGGAACATGATACCGCGCGAAGCAAACAGTACTATCTCCCATCGCGACCCGTGGCTCCTCACTTCTTTGGGAACAAAAAGGTTAAATTGTGGTGGCAAGTCTGGCAAGTCTGGCAAGCGATATAACTTAGAAGGCGCCGACGGGGATTTTTAAAAGGGATATTATAAATTGCATATCAAATAAATAATCGCCTATCAATACATATTCATCATTTATATTTTTTTTTTACATCAAATATCTTACTTCACTGCAAATAAACTAAATGTTTAACAAAACATAAACTGCAGATAATTCGAAATTTTACATCAATATGACATAACTTTTTTCCTCATAATGCAATACAGATAAATTTATTTTTGTACAAAAATACTACATACATAGCATGAATACTGATTGCACAGCAAATTTTCCATATTTCATAGCAAAATAACTATTCCAGTCGCATATTAACCAGTAAACATACGTAAGTAAACATAAGTTTATAGGTCCGTTAGGTATAGCCTAACCGAACCTGGCGCGGAAAGCGCCAGGTTAGGTTAGGTTAGGTTAGAACTTTGACCACAACGCACGAGCCGAGCGAGCGGAGCGAGCGTGCCGCGGCAGCGGCCGGCGATGTGCCAGAAACGACACGCTATTCGCGTCATCTATTTAAAATATGATTATCGATGTGTATGATTAACGATGATGGTTCATCTCTAATCAAAACTGCTGTAAATAATATAAAATAGAAGCTATATTTAAAAGAAAAAGAGTTAACAGGTATAATGTGCATTAAGATTATTAGCTGTGCATTAATGAAAAAGCTTTTGCTTTAGGAAAAATCGCTGTACGCTGCGAAAATAAATTGTAGTGTGTTTAGTGATATTTTGAGTTGAAAATTTTGCTGTGCAATCAGTATTTTTGATGGGAATTTGGAATCTTATTGCATAGAAAAAGGATATTTTTTGATTTGCGTTTAAATACTACCCTTTTTAAAATACTTGTAGGTTTTCTGCGCAGACGCATGGGTGCGATAGCAACAAAGTTGACCCTAGGCGGTTGTCCACAAATTACGTAACATGTTTTAGAGGAGGTGAAGAGGGGGTCAGACCCGACGCTATCTTCCATACTGAAAGGGTTGAAAGCAAGGGTAATAGTAGGCAAGATCGCTTAAGTGAGAGTTCCCGTTTTTTCCCGAGTTTGGCCCCGCCTTGGAAACGAATCTTTAGGCTATTCTTTAGCTATTCCGAGCCGGGGCCTTGCTAGCATACTTACAAAAAAAATGGCAGCCATTTCAAACTTTTTTTATTGGCCAAAATTTTGTTATTTTGTAATAACTCAAAACTGGTAAGTGCTATAAATGAACATTGTATAGAAGAAATGTTACGCATAAATTTCTGCACAACCTTGATCTAATAATTTTTTTGATAATCTAATAGTTTGAGAAAAAAACGCTTTAATACATGGCAGTTTTTTCTAAAAACTCACCAAATCTAAAATATGAATTAAGTAGTGAAGTTGGGGATTAAGAATTACTTACTGTGTGGGTAGACCTTGCTACGGTATCCTGACTGATACTTAGTAACAAGCTTTCTGTCCAGAGGTTTTACCCGCTAATTTTCAAGTAAATAAGCAATTTTTTTGCCAATTTACACCCTGAGTTTTACCACCTTATGAGATGATTTTCTTAAATTCCTTTCCTGGTGTTAACTCACCCAACCAAAATAACCACTGCGCAAAATTTCAAGAACCTAGGTCCAGTGGTATTGCCTGTGCATAGATTTACAATTTGTAAAAAAAATATTAAATTTGTTCGTAGTTGCCACATTTTTATTTTTTTGCAATCCCTTGAGGCTGTTCTTTAATAGTTCTGACCCAAGGTCCTGTTAGGATAGCAAAAAAGAACAAAATGTGGCAACAACGAACAAACTCTACTTTTTTCATACAAATTGTATACCACGCACAGGCAATACTACTGGACCTAGGACCTTGAAATTTTGCACAGAGGTTATTTGAATAATCTTAATTAATATCAAGAAAGGATTCCAAAAAATTCATCACCTAAGGTGGTAAAACAGAGGACGAAAATTTGTATAAAATTAACTTGTTTACTTCAAAATATATCAGCGGGTAAAACCGCTGGGCGGAAAGCTTGTTACTAAATATCAGGCAGGAATGCAGGATATTGTAGCATGGTCTACCCACACAGCGAGTGACTCTTAATCCCCAACTTCACTACTTACTTTATACTTTCTAATTTGTGAGTTTTCAGCAAAAACTGCCATGTTGTGCTACGTTTTTCTCGCAAACTATTGGATTATGCAAAAGTTATTGATAACATTCATATGCAGAAATTTACGCTTAACATATCTTCCATACAATAGTTATTTGTAGCTCTTACCATTTTTGAATTATTACAAAATAACAAAATTTTTCCCAGTGAAAAAATTTTGAAACGGTTGCCATTTTTTTTTTGTAAGTAGGCCAGCAAATCCCCGGTTCGGCATAGGTAAAGAATAGCCTAAAGATTAGTTTCCAAAGCGGAACCGACCTGGAACACGCACGGGAACTCCCAAAAATTTTTTGTATAGAAATTCTAACCTACTATAAGTAAAAAGTCAAACCGAAACAAGCAAATGACAGGTTTTTAGACCATAGTTGTAAACAAGATGTGTGATTAAATCTTTGTATGCAATTTAGCTGTTTATATTCCCCCGAAAAAATAACAAAACTACCTAGGTACCTAAATAAAGATTTTATCCAGTGCAGAACCGCAAAAGTCTCAATCATTCGCAGTAGTTCCATTGAGATTAGTTCCATGTCTTTAAACTCAAGAAAAATAAACACGCATCAGACATTACTGCGGTTTGTGCCTGCTATGACAACCTGTGATAGTTGCAATTTGATGCGGAACCGTTTGCGGTATTTAAGTTATTGTATGGGATTTCGAAAAATTCTTTTCGCCAATAATTTGAATCCGACAAAATACCAATAAAATGCCTAGTAGCTGTACGTGCAAATGCGACTTTCCACCATATTTGCATACAAATACGGTTTATGAATTATGACAAACAGTTTGATAGACGCATCCGCTAGCTCTGCGTATCACACAACGCTGCATCAACGGATACGTCTGTCAAACCCATAATATTACCCATATTTATGTCAAATATTGTATGTAAATTAGCTCCAAATTCGTATTTTCCTAACGCAGCGCAAAAATAACGCAGAAACTGACGTTACGTGTATTTTTCGCTGAATTGTATGGTTATATTATACCTAATCCGCACATTACGAACAATAATTTGTCTACAGTCCCACAACTGCAGCAGGTCCTAATTGGGCCAATCAGATGTGATTACTCTACCTGCATAAGTCAATGCTTTTCCCTTTTTACCCGACAGCAAAAAACAGTTCACCCGACTTACCTTTTCATTCATTCCTAAAGGCTTCAAGCAAAGGTGCGAAATTATGCAAGTGTTTAATGTCGCATTATCTAAAAAGCATTCTTATTTTTTGTATTCTTAGTGGTTGAGAAATTATTCGTTGCAACAGATTTCACCAAATTCAGTTCCGTACCTTCCAAGACAAGCTATTACTGTAACTCCATCGTAAGGTCGGTAATTTTTTCTTCAAATAATGTATTGTTTTTTGCAGACAGCTTCATCTGGTCACGTGTGGCTGTGGTCCAATAAGTCACGCACTCGCCCTCATTAAAATATCACCTGCTAAATGTATTTTAAAGCTGGTTTATAGGTACTATTTTATATGATGCAAACGTTTAAAATACACGTGCGGAAGAAACCTAGTATTGAAACGAGCATTTTTTCTATACATTTACAGCCATACATTTTAACTGAGATGTAGAGTTTATGAAGGTAATGTTAAGAACTTGGATCTGATATCTTTTTCACTCGGGATATTTGTTTCCGTATTGCTGTCTCAACAAAAATTTGCGTCTCTATTAAATCATACTTAATAATCACTTAACTTGTCACATTATTTTACCACTCGAATTCGTTCGTCAAAAGGTCAAGCCTTTTTCTGTCCTCTCAACTGACACTCTGGCGCGATAGATTAAAATTGTAGATGAGAATGTTCGTGGCCAAAATATACTTGCTTAATTCGCAGGCTAGAATAAAACCGCAGTAGCCTTTTGGTAGTGGCGTCAGCAATACAGATGCCGAAGGTCGCTGGTTCAAATCCTGTCTGCGATGGAAAATTTTGCAAGGTTTTCCAAAAAAATATGAGAATTGTCTAGTGTAACCACTCGTTTGATACTGACGAAATGCAATGGGATTCCTTCTGTTTCAAAAATACGTCTCCCGTGCGCGGCGACACGGCGCGAGCTCGGGCGATAACACAACACTCATTTGTCACCAGCGGCGTGCAAGCGTGTAAAGCGTTCCTGTAGATCAGTGGTTCTCAATTTATCGATTGCGACCCGCGGGGGAAAATAAAACAAACGACTCCGAGAAAATAAGAAAGTAGAGCTAGAACCACAAATTAGGGAAACGGCGCGTGGGGCACATTTACAGATTCCTCACTCGATTTGACGATTTTGACGCTTACTGACTTTAATTGGAAATAACTGGAATCTCAGGGGAAATCAAGGTAACTAAGAAGATAGTTGGCACTAACGTCACATTTTATGGATAAAAATTTGATTCATGTCATTCTTCTATCAGATTTTTTATTTTGATATTCTTGTTACTTAAGATTTTCGACAGTAGCAACCCTGGCTATGTAACAAGAGACAATCGCAAAAATCCTGAACAGGGTCAAATAAACCTTCTGGTGATCTACGGATGGTCAACGGAGCTTTTCTGAGGAGTGACCCCCGAGAAAATAAAAAGAGTAAAGCTAGAACCCTACGATAATTGTAACTGCAATACTAAAAATACAATTGTAATGAGAATAATGGTCTTGTTTACCTTCCTAAATATTACCTACTACTAAATATTACCTAGTACTATCACTTCCTTTACTAAATCAATTTAGATTGGTTTGTGATACTAACTTTGTCAATTCAATGTAAGTTTCATCGCCATTTATTTTTAGCCTGCAAAAAGCGTCGCGTATTGAAAAAGATTGGAAAACACTGCTGTAGATAAACTGTCAGGAACAGTATAGTGCCCTGCTACTTCGATATTTAAAGTTATGGTAGACTGCTGGTTGGTGATAAAACGTAGTACCTACAAGACAAGACACCTACGTTTTTTGCTGGATATTCTGTAAATACACGAAGGAATCCAAACACCCTCTTGCTGACCCTATGTAGTTATGTAAGTGTGTAAACTTTTACCTACAACTACATAGGCATATTTCTTTTATGAAATATCGCTAGCTCTTTGATGAACAAATGAACTTTGCTGCAGGTTTTGATTGCGATTCCAAACTAACGTTTACAGATAAATTAACTACCTGCGTAGACCTTTCTCCTAGCGGTTTTACTACTTATCTAGTAAAAAGCTAATTACCTCAATCTAAGTGCCTTCTCCTGTTTATGGCGGATTTGATTGGGCTCAATTTATAGGTAGTAGGAAGTTCTCTCTATTCGAGGAACAGCGCAATAAAGCCCCGTTGTAATGATCGTCCTACAGCACCGCATGCGCAGGCGCAGCGCACAAGCCACCCGCCGGGAAATCGCGACGAATTACTATCATTGCGAACCTGCTTTTGCCGTTTCCCTTAACTCAATCCACAACTAATACTTAAAACGGTTCCCGCATTACAAACACTATAATTTTGCACACCATTCTATTCATAAGTCATTCTTCGAACCGCACAGCCCTTTCAAGTTTAATTTTGTTTGTTCGCAGGTCGCAATTTCTCAGAGGAGCCATTGTACTGCCAGACTCGACAGATAAACCCTTACGAGGATTCAGTGGAGGTAGTGGCGGCGAGGCCTTTAGAGATATGGTACCAACAATGGGACGTCACGTCGAAGCAAGTGGAAACACCAGTGCTACTGTCCTGCCCTCTGACAGGGCCTTTGTACTTCCCCTCGATGGTATCGGTGGTCACTGAACCGTGCGATGACCCTACCAACGCATTTTCTATACAACCTAGTCTAGACGCACACTACAAAAGGAACTTTACGATTTGCGTTAAAGACTTGAACTTTAATAGAGATGTATCTCAGAATCTGATTGAGTGGATAGAAACTAATAAGATTCTAGGCGTAGATATGATCGATATGTACATAGATAGTATAAATAAAGATAGTGAGAATGTTTTGCTGCATTATAGTAGCACAGGTTATGTTAGAGTATTTCATGTTCCTATTAGAGATAAGCCGAAAAGATCTCTATGGCAAAGGAGAAGAGATCACATCATAACGTACAACGATTGTTTATATAGAAATATAGGAGAATCAGTGTATGTAGTACCATTAGATATTGATGAAGTAGTACTTCCTAAAATAGCGAACACGTGGGCTGAGTTAATAGAAAGATTGCAGTACAATGGGTGGGATCCAGTCCACAACTCCGCCATATTAGTGCAAAACGTGTTCTTCTTTGACTTCATGCAAGGAGTTCACTCATACAAACATAAGAAAGTCCATAAAAATAAAATATACTCTAAAAGGGACAATGTCCGAATCAAAAGATCAAATAACGTAGAAATAGGAGAAATAGAGTTATTAGATGACACGAGTAGTTTAAGTAATGAAGTCATAGACATTAGTGAAGATAGACAAATCTACGAAAAGTACAAAGACAGGTGTGGGGAAGAGCTCCCCGTGCCAAAACTGGTGAAGCACACGTTAAGATCAGCTCTAGTGAGTCCTGTCGGGTACTACGGGAAGAGTTTGATGGTGACCAGGAAGGTCTTAACAGCATTCAACCATTACCCCCTGGCGAGCTTGCGTGGAGCACCCTTTGGAGGCTGGTCGGCGCCTTTTGAAGAAGTGCAGCTCAACCATTACAAGGTGAAAATTCCCTTTATTTTCATTAAACTGGTGTACTTACCTACTTCCTTTTTTAGCACGCAGGGTTAACACGCGGTATTCAATAATTAATTTAGGTGTACGATAATAAAGAAAAAAGAAAAAAGACAGGAATTATTTTAGTTATATCACGTGCTCAATTCTTACTTCAACGTGAAAGAAGATTTGAAATTGCATATAAGTGTCCTCAGCTTGCATATTTTGTAAAGCACTTCGACTTTTTTTTCATTCTTCTATTTGGGTATAAAATATGTGACAAATAGAAACGCTAGAGCTCACACCGTTGGAAACATTAAAATATCTTGTAGGTACTACCTAACAATTATTTCTATGTCAGAACTCCATGAGAAAGCACGACAAACCCTTTTTCTCAAGACCTCGCTGGGGTCAATTAACTGTAATAAATAAGAAAATCTGTCACGTTCGTTGTAATTCTCTGGTGTAACGTCGTGTCTGGTCCTCAGGAGTCGTGCAACACGACGGTGGTGGCGGAGTGTACCCGGTACGGTCGGCGCGCGCGCATGGATACAACGGCACTGCGCCTGCGACGACGACTCACGCGAGCCCTCGCCAACGCCATCTGTACCACAATAAACAAACATACCTGAATAAACTACTGTTGTTTTATTTTCGGATCAGTGCACCTTTTCGGAGTCACAACACTTCAATCTATTAGAATGTTTTGATGCACTCACAGTGCTATATGATTGTCATAAATTGAAAATGAGAGAATTGAAAAAAGTCCCGGCGGTCGCTAATGCATTTTTCATTTTTCTTATTTTCAATTTAAACATCTCATTCATCGATACACACTTATTTGCTTTAATTATGAGCATAACAGCGTACCTATAGCTAAATCTGTCATAGCTAAATCCTAGATCACCATAATCTCAAAATGCAAATAAGCTTTAAGTTTTATGTCAAAAATATTTAATTTAATTTTTACCTTATTTGCGTAACACATTTGGGTATAAATTAGATGTAATAAAAAAATAAGGATAGTATGGAGTATGACAAATTTCGTGGATAATCTTTGATGTCATATTCAAACACTCATAAAATTCTGCTACTATTAATTTGAACGTATGTTGGGATTTTGGCATGCTAATATTTCAAATAGAGATAGGTAGTAATCAAGACAAGCGAAACAAAATCTAAAAAGATACCCAAGAAACTCGTGCCTATTTTCACACTAGCTTCATAATTAAGACATAATAAAGCCATGCATTGAAGTTAGAAATCTTTGCGAAATACACCCCCTGGCGCGTCCTGGCATTCCTTTATCTACACATCACAACCACAAATAAAATTTCATGGATCATAACTAAGGTGAAGAAAAAACGCAGTTTCTATACAAAAGAGAATAAGAGAATATGAATTATGAATATAAAATTACTAGTCGGCGGATAAGAATTGCTATATAAAGATGTAGGGGATATCTTGGAGATGTTTTAGTGGGGGCACGTGCTCGTGGAGGCAGGAGAAAAGATGAACATTTAAATATTTATGAATATGGGCAGAAGGCGTCCATCATTGATGTTGTAGCTCATATCGTGTGATTGATAGTCTGCCTCGAATGGATTCGCCGCATAGTTGGGATTCCTGCACTGGAGTGCGCGAAATGATTTGACAAGATAAAATATGAAGCATGTAATGGGAATGTACATCATTTGTATCTACAAATACAAATGGTGTTTTGAGGATATCAGATTATTACTGAAGTGTGTTTTGCTCAATAATGAATAATAATATTTCTACACTTCATGGCATAAAGTAGGCAGCACTCCAATATTGTCGTAGGCATTAATCAGATCGAAAGATAAACGCCAAACAAGCTACTTTCATCCGAGCACTCCAGAACAAAAAGGCCTCTCCAGCGGAGCATCAATCAGCGAGATGGATCAGATAACGCGTGACGCAGGCTCATCGAATTATCATCGACTCATGATCGAATTATGAGCAGGCAACACTCGCTCCAGTAATGATGAAATTGCCAGCCACAGCCCGACTGCTCAATTTACAAGTGTAATCGAGTGTGACGAAATAAATCGGTAATGTCCCTCTAATGATGGCGGATGTAGCTGGCCATAGCTGGTCATCTCCAAGTGCAGCGAGTCACGACATTACCTATAAATTGGCAATTTGGCACAGGCAATTAAGGACTCGTTTCCTGCTTAGATGTGAATGGTCAATTGTCGAAAATTGGATAATTTTGAGAATATTTTAGTCGGAATGGAACCTAATATATGTAAATGTGAGTAGGTA